TGGGGATGATCGAGCAAAAGCAGATACAGTGAATCGGCCAGTAACGCCAGGAAACGTGGATTATTTTCATGAAGCAAAGGTGCCATTGCTTCCAAACCGCCGCATGCTCTTGTCTCCTGCAAAACCCTCGAAATTTAGGAAAATTCAACGTGCACACTTTGCTTCAAATCCATAAAGCAGTATTTGTAGGGAGTCTACAGAACACGACTCAAGCCAGAATTAACAGCAGGCAAGGCTCTGCAGATTATGTTTATTCGAGTTTCTGCCAAGTTTTACTAAAATTCTCCCACTATACAAACTGATTCTGAATTAGCTGTTTTTACCAGTCTTTTGCGAATCACTCGATTTGCTCTCTCTCTCTCTCTCTCTGATTTGTTTTTCTTTCGCACATCTGTTTTGCAAATTAGTTACATGACTGTTCAGTGCACTGCGGGTAGGAGGCTGTACTGATAATTCTCGCTCCTACCCGCATGCATTGCTCGGTCTGTGTTTACAGCTAAGGGATGAAACTCGGAATACATCACAAAATGTCCTCCGGCACATGACGCTTAAGACCAATCCTTCTATCCTACTATTTTATACTGAATAAGAATGAACCTCCTTGGCATAATCCATGAAAAGAAGCAAATTATGAAGCGTAGTGATGGCGTAATGACGAACTGCATCCACTGGGATTCCAAGCATTCGGACAAGTTCCGGAATGCCACCAGAACGGAAAATATGCATGCGGCCCTCGGCACGTTCCGAAATATGTGAAAGAGCTCCCAGCGCATCTCGTCGTATCGCATCGTTTTCGTAACTTAAAAAATCGCTTATCAAGTTTTGAAATTTCCCACAAAAAAACCAAGAAATGTAATAATTTCCAAAGTGCAGCGTATGGCGAAATAGTAGGGTCGAGAGTTCAAATCCTCATCACTGCCAGTGAAAAACTAATTTCTTCCCGAGCCGTTCATTCATTTCCACGGAATTTTTGTATTACAGCACTATAGGGATTCAGAACCGCCATTTAGCTTGCTTATAAGCAATAATTAAAAGACGAAAACATCGACAGCGATGCCAAAAAGCTGTTACTACCGACTGCCTCCGCCTCTCGCAGAAGCGAACACGGTTTAACACCCGAATTTTTGTAAAGATTTTAATTTCTGATTTTCTGAATTCCGAATTTCGTATTTGAGTTAGTTTAAGCCTTGCTGTAAGTTAAACCTGTACTAATGCAAAATTTTTCGAAACGGAAAAAAACATGAAAATTGTAATTTTCTAAGAAATTTTCAAGAAAAACGTGAAAACACCGTAAAAATCACCGAGTAGCTGTGCACAGCGCATCAACAAGTGTTGGATTTGAAGCAATTGCATTCACCGATTTTCTTTCACGCGAAAGCATATGCACCATATGCACGGCGCGCATAACCACTGTCTGTAACAAATATGCAAAATTTTGATCAAACTGCTATACTGCCGTAATTTATACATTAGGAAAATACAAGAAATGTTAATCGCCGTGTCACTGGTGGGCTGCTTGCTACTGCAAATCGTCCTCCTCGAAGCGCCGGACTTTAACGATCATTTATATACTCAGATTTCTATTTATGATAAAAGGCACTGCGGATTCTGTTTTGTTGACTTATTCTGCGATATTTTAATTTTAGCTTAATTTGATCCTCATAATTTACATAAGATAAAAATAGTGTTTTTGTGAATGCAAATACAGGCCTGAAAACCAAAAATGAGGTTTTACATCCAATTTCTAACTTCTTTAAGATGCTT